TATATATATATATATATATATATATATATATATATATATATATATATATAGATTTAGTTATATTTTATACCCTAGTTTGCATATTTATGAATTGTAATTATGATTTAAATTATTTTATTTTATTTAATTTACAAGTGAGTTTGTATAATTCGTGAATACAATTGTATAATTCAATTATTTTTATACAAATTTGAAATAACAAATTTATACAAACAGAACAACTAAACTTATAACAGTTATACAAATTTCGAATTATACAAACATGTGAATCATACAAATCTAAAAACAGAGTCGCATAATTATAGCTAAAAGTAGGTCGCAAATTGTAATTGAGATAAATTGTAGCTATGCTAACTAATTAACTAATCTATAGTATTTATTTATCCTCATAATTTCCATTTTAAAAATTGACAAAAGAGTCTTGCTCAAATGATAAAGATTGTTCACCTTCAATGTTAATATGTGTTCTGGGCTCAAAAAAGTAAAAATATGAGAGCTTTTTAGGGAGGAGTAAAAAAAAATGGAAAAAAATTAAGATTTTACACGAATTACATCTATTCCATGGGGGTGAGGATCAAAATATCTTTAACTATCATGACCTAATTTCAGAAAAGATTAATTTTGTATAAATAAATTATGTTTTTAATGCATAACTTTGTGAATTCTGAAATTGAATTTATTCTTCTATAAATATAATTTTGAAAATAGGCTATAAATTTCTTTCAGGGAATAGTGATCTTAAGGCAAACGTTTATGTAAAGTGTAACTTATGGGTTTATGAACTTTTTAAAGAATAATATTCTGAAATTAATTTTATATCTTTATCAAATAACTGAAGTTATGTCTCTAACCACATAAATTCCTTATGAATTAAGCGATATAACTTATCATGTCTCTTATATTATGACACAACAACAAAAAAATTTAAATATGCATACTCATATGAATTACTTTTCAAAAAAATAAGATGCACGAGTTTTCATAATTTCATTCTTTTCTCATAAATAATTTACAACAAAAAATGTCTTTTCTCTTTTACAAATTTAATATTGATAAATCTAGAAAAAAATTCTGCAGAGTATTTGAACTTTCTTGAAATATTTCTTTTTCAGAATAAAAAAAATTAGTGCGATATACACTTATCTATTCACGAAATTACTTGAATATCATCTAAGTATTTTATTTTTATTCACGTAGTATTAATTTCTAGAAGTAATTAATCACACCTAAAGCGAATTAGTGAATTCTTTTGTATATGTGTTGATAATGTAATGCTTTCGCAAGTCACAACCATATTATAATTAGTGAAATTTAATTTAAGAATGACATGTCCATGAAAAGTGGATAAATAGTGCCAATTTAACCTTCAAGTACAAACCAAATCATGTGATATGTTTTTTTTTTCTAGCCAACAACTACAATTTCACAAAAAAAGCAAGTGGATGAATGCAAATGAATCCCCACTTAAAAGATAAGATCAATCACTTAACCAAAAAATCCCCCACCATCAATGGAGTAATCATTATACTAATTAGCTTAAGCAAAGGTTAATTAATTTAATTAACTAGCATCTATCTATCTTCTTTTTTTTATATTATAAATAAAAGATCACATAATTCCATTTGCCAATTAGATAATAATGGAATGTTGTGATAGTACAAGTGGAGATCAAAATTGTTGTGATTTTTTTCTATTGGTGGAAGCTAGTGGTGACTCTCATCAATTTGATAATTCCAAGATTCACCAAGAAAAATGTCAAGAAAATTGTGAACATTATGAAGTTGAGGATGATGCACAATCAAGCAATTATGAAACAAGGGATAATCTTGGAAATTCACAAGAAGTGATTAGTGGCTTTGAAGAAGATAATTATGATGATGATGAAGAAGAAGAACAAGATGATGGACACAAATGTAGCATAACAAAAGAGGTTTGTAAAGATATTGTGGAAGAGAAAGAAGAAGAAGTATCAAGTAGAAGGGCTATAAATATGGAAGATGAAGTGGAAAGAAATAGGCTATTTTGGCAAACTTGCTTTGAAGTAGGTTATCCATAAACTACTACATTTGCTTTCTTTCATCTCAATATCGGAGTCTGATTAATTTGAATTCGCGCCGCGTAAATAAATTTGAAAGAGTGCATCAAGAGTTCAAATTCAAAACTTCTTGATTGAGAAAAGAGCTACACATGTCGCTATCACATTTTAGTACATGGTTTTTATATTTATTATTGGTACTATTATTCCTTCTTTAAACATATTTTATTTGCTTGTTGAAAATTTGTGTTTATATTTTGTCCTACTTTTTGGGTATTTAGTTGCTTTTGTTCAGTCCGTATATATAAAAATGATATGACCTTTATAAAGAAAACTAATATTATACTATTCATTCGTATTGTATTTTAAACAGATATCCTTGATCACTCTCTCTGAACTCTTATTGTTTATTATTAAATTAATGACATTAAATAACTAGTTGTTTAGTAAGTGAGTCCTTAGTTAGTATCACCACAAAAATTTATATATAACCACTTAAAAATAGTCTAATTACTCTCCATAGATATAGTTTGATAATTACAATTCGTAGCTACATGTTATATGGAGGAGAGAGGCGATCGAGACTGGGAGAGAGAGTAGCGAGACGAGAGAGAAGGGGAAAAGAGTGGGAGAAAGGTGAATTGTATATGTATATTGGTTAGATAATTGTATGTTATATATATGAATTTGTATATATGGCAAGAGAGATCCGGAGAGAGAGGAGCGAGGCGAGAAAGACTGGGAGAGGGCGGAGAGAGGCGAGAGAGATTGGGAGAGGGAGGAGAGAGGCGAGCAAGAGAGGGCAGAGAGGTAAATGATATATGTATATAGTTGCATATTATACATATGCATTTGTATTATGGCAAGCGAGATTGGGAGAGGGAGGAGAGAGGCGAGCAAGAGAGGGCAGAGAGGTAAATGATATATGTATATAATTGCATATTATACATATGCATTTGTATTATGGCAAGCGAGATTGGGAGAGGGAGGAGAGAGGCGAGCGAGAGAGGGCAGAGACTGGGAGAGAGATGAATTGTATATGTATATAGGTTAAATAACTATATATTATACATATGTATTTGTATATTCTATCGAATTACACATATACAAACGTGACTGATTATATAAACTCGAAGTCAGCCAAAGTAATTAAA